AGATAGTCATCACTACCTACCACCCACTCTTGGGCTACTCTTTTACTAACGAACAGTGGTATTGACCGTCTCATTATATCGCCCCCGCGGCTAAAAGGGCGAGCATGTTAGGTGAGACAGGGATTCGAACCCGCGACCCTCAGATTACGAGTCGATCGCCCTAACCACATTGCCATGCCGGGCCCCATCAAAGTTAAAACGATTTGGAAAAGTCAAAGTCCTGACAACACCACATTGCCATGCCGGGCCCCATCAAAGTTAAAACGATTTGGAAAAGTCAAACTTTGGAAGCTATAACTGTGATTATTATAAAGCTTACCAATCGGAAAACTTTAGATATTTAATCAGGAACCTTTAAAAACTTCGAACATTACAAATCGTTTAACTTCAGTGGATTCTCATCGGACATTTCTATTTTTTATGAAAACATTATATAAATTCATTGTGGAAAACTCGGCGTGTGTGGCTGGTAAATAAATAAGGACAAAGCTAGCTAGCTTCCCGTTAAGTGAGTCGTACCTTCGTCAACTCGTAATTAACTCGCTCATCGTGAACCCTCGATAAGATATCAAGGAACTTCCAGACTAGAAAGAAGACTTTATATTGCTTGTAAGTTTGTGAAACTTTTGTTTATAAATCATTGTTTGTAATAACTATTTGTAATAGCTGTTATTGTAAATTGTATTGTTGTTTGTATATTAAACTATATTTGTGTTAAAAAAGAAAACTGTTTGTAACAATCTTGTTGCCAAATATCATAAATTGGAGATATATCGGCTTTTACTTAACTGCTAAATCCAAAATACAATTTAAATACTAAATTTATAGTATCATTTAGCTCAGTTTCAAACCATTCGAAATTCTAATACGTAACAATATATATATATATACCTACAGCTAGAATAGTGTTACATATATAGATTTTAATAAAATAAGAAGTTTGACTGAAAGCTGTGTTAATAAAATAACTAAAGGAAAAGGGGTCTTGTTGGCTGAAGAGCAACCTTAAGCGTGTGAAAGCGCTACCTACTGAAATAAATATTAATCTCCAGTTCCTTTCTTTTTAATTTGTAATCTTTCTTATATGCTTTGATTGACTTTAAAACACTATTTAAATCTATCTACCTATCTATCCGATATCAGGGCCTAACATTGGGAAGGAAGGGTTAAGAATGGTAGTGTACGTGGAGTGCACGTGCTCTTTCTACCTACGTGTTAGGCTCTTAAATATCTTAAACCGTCTACAAACATAGTTTTCAGAGACCGGTGGCGACACAGGTAAATTGTATGTAATTGGTTGTTGACGTTCTCAGTCTGATGACCATGATGTGTACACACTACTTCCTGAAACAACAACATATTTAATTTAATGAAATAACTCATAAAATACAAATCTCTTTATGTGTATAACTAATTACTATCAGTTTCAGAAACCAAAAGTCCCTCATATTTTCTCATTTACATTTCAAAGTTAATAAGCCTGCAGGCTCACACTTGTGTAGTTTTGTGCTTAAGAACGATCAACCAACTAAATCATTACGAGTTAATTTTCTTGTGCTATTATTTTAAGTTTTGGAGTAGATAATTTAGGGCCTTACGATATATTTACCTTAGTTCTACCAACAACAATTAATATCTTAAAACTAATTTAATTATATCCTAGTATATTACATACTAATATCATTACGTGCAAATGGCATGTCTTGTGAATATCCACTGGTTTTCTTTCTTTTTTTTTAATAATACTTTGTATGTTCAGAGAAACAGGAAGAAATAATAAATAATACTCTGAAAATAGAGATGTTATTTATTTCTTGTGACACGTAGTATCCTTGAAGTCATTCAGTACATGTTCGTGTGAAGATACATGTAGTAAGACTCATTACTCCCCTTTATAATAATGATGTTCCAGGTCACATGCTGCCCTTGGAACTACTTCCTCCACTGTCAGTCTAATGGCCATGATTACCTAACACCATAGATCATGTTCAGTCTAATGGCCATGATTACCTAATACCATAATTTACAAGCTTCTGCGAGGGATGGCGACAAACTTTCGACAAAACCTTCACTGTAGGAGGTTAAGTCGGCTTTCAAAGTCACGTTTAAGCAAACAAAGCATAACAGTCCATTGAAGCTCCATGGGGGGTCTGGACAGGTACGTGGTCGAATGGTATTGCTGTTTTTCCGGTTTCTTTGACCATGTTTTTTTTTATAAACACAGATGTTGATTTAGAAATGTGGCTGAAAGCTCGTGAGAATTCAACACCTTTAAATCCTTATTTATTATCTTATTAATAGTACCAGAAGATATGGCAAGCTTCATTGGAGTTGTATTATTTACGGGGAGGGGGTCGGAGGATTCTCTATCGTAAACATAGCCTTCACTTAGCTCTGAATTAGCTTAGTGTGCGGTTTTGGAGCTCGTTTCTACCCTAACGTTTCCTGTGTAAATAATTCTGTTTCCATGGATAACATGGAATGCGCCTTTCTTCAAAATCTTCCATCCTTTGGTTCTACTTTGATTAACAATCTCACTCTATGAATATTTATCTACTGGACGTTTATATATATATATCGCATCCGTAGTGATACATCAGTAAGTTAGTATATATATAAATAAATCAAATAAAGTGCAATTATCTTCTGTAATTCTGATTATTTTTGTTAGTTTGTTAACTCTCATTCTCAGTCAACAAAGTCCTGATGTATTTGAGTTAAATAGTCCCTATATACTTTATTATCAAAATATAATGGTATCTGAAATAAATAATTCCTTCATGTAAAAAACAGTGCAGGTATTATAATTAAACATTCCTGTACATTACAGTTTACTGGAAGTAAATCTGAACTAGATCTTGGGAAGATAAAATAATGTCTATGATTACAAAAGTTATTTGTAAACTATAGTTTAAATGCCGAAGGCTGGTGAAGTTTCCGAGTTCGATTCCCCGCGGTGAACACAGCAGATAGCCTAATGTGACTTTGCCCTAAAAATAAAAAAAATCTGAAGTTTACGCGATTTATGTCACAAATTTTAGGCCCATTTATAATTCTCAAATTACTTTTAAAAGCGATTTCCCAATAATATATTCTGACCAGATGACTATGACTAACGCCTTTCTAATATTATTATTATGTGTAGTGTTAAGCTTTAAAAGAAACTTTTTAATGCAGTTTTGGCTTCAAGATTCTTTTATAAACACATTTGTTTGTCCAAAATTGATATTTGGTTGTTGAAAAATAATATATAGCTGGTATTCTCGTATTAGTTGGAAAACTAAAATATGTGAATAAACCAGTGATTGTCACATATAACTAGTTTACTATGGTGAATAAATAACTTATCTTTAACAAATCGAGATACATCTTGAAGGGTACAAGTATTAAAATATCGGATAGATAAAAATCAATGTTCGTAACAAAATTTCGGGTTATCTAATCATGTTTCATATATTTTCTGGCATTATAATTTTTAAATATTCAATTTGAATTGTTTGTTTATATATTTTTAAGAACAGGAAAAATGTTTGTTTTGAATTTCGCGCCAAGCTACACGAGAGCTATCTGCGCTAGCCGTCCCTAATTTAGCAGTGTAAGACTAGAGGGAAGGCAGCTAGTCATCACCACCCACCGCCAACTCTTGGGCTACTCCTTTGCCAACGAATAGTGGGATTGACTGTCACATTATAACGCCCCCACGGCTGGAAGGGCGAGCATGTTTAGTGTGATCTATATATTTAACACTATTCTAGCTGTAGGTATATATATATATATAC